TGATTGAAGTTTGTCATCTGTTTGTTTATTTGTTGCCAATAGCTGTATTCTAAGAGTCCTGTACTTAGCTAATTCACAGCTGTCTGCTATGTTGTACAAGGTGTCTGCAGCTAAGCATGTGTCTTATGTTGTAATACCAATTATTAATAATTTCTCTCATGTATGGGTTATAATCAGTAGATCTCAAAGCTCTATACAAATATTATCCTTATTTTCAAGATGGGCAAACAGAGGTACAGAGAGGTGAAATGACTTCTTGCATAATATTAGTATGTTTGCAAGGCATTCTTCACAATCTTTGCTCAGAGCAATGAGCAATTGTAGGAACAGAGCCCCACAACCCCACCCGTTTTTAATTACTTGTTCAGGCTTTCCTCCCAAATATGTCTTCCTACTGAAAAATATATGAAGACAATATCTTGTCCCTTCTTGATTTAAATAAAAAAGTAGCTGCCCACCCTGCCTAGCATGCATGCACAGATTCATGTATAGTTATCACACATTTGGCTTGAGAAGGAAGTATATGTTGTGGTGGGCTGGCTTAGGGTAGCTTTTTATATACTGAAGGATAATTGTTCAATGTTTTGACGTAATTTTAAAGGCAGTTGTAAATGCAGATTTTTGATAGAGGTAGTTCCACTCTGGATTACAATGGGGCTTAGATACCTGCGTGCACAAAATGAGCATGTTCAGAATCTTAAATTTAGGTGCCAGGAGATTTTTTTTTTCAGGCAAAAATGAAGGCGCCAAATGAATTCAGGTGACTGATTGATTCTGCAGCCTTTGGAATCTGGTCAGTCTGGATTGCATGGATCACTTCTTGTGACTTAGGCAGCTAAATTCCATCTAACTCCCATTTAGCTACCTAATTTAGATTTAGATCAGATCCTAAATAAATACAAATCTCAGCAGCAAAATCTTTAAGGTGCCACAAACGCTTACTCAAAGCTAAAGAGACTGTTGGGGTGACAACCTCCTTTAAATGATCAAGGGTTCAAGACTAAATCATCAGGAAGAGCCCCAGCAGCACAACAAAGCAAGTAGAATGTGAGAATTTACAAATCAATTCCTCTCAGAAGTGGTGATTATTCTTATTTGGACTGATCTCAAAACTCTCAAGAGCCCCATTTTTAACAGACTAGAAGGTGGTAACAAATTATGTTTATATTTTTTTCAACCCTTATTTGGTAATGGACTGTTTTATGCAGTTCAGTTCTATGGATATGTGTTTATTTTCCACAGATCCTGCCAACAGTTTCCATTCTGGGGCTTCCTGCTTATTTCTTCCAGCTGCTTCTCTTTCTTATCCCTTCTGTTGTTGTTCTCCTCCTGACTTCTTTATTTTGCTACTGAAGTCGTGGTGGCAGCTTTTTGTTATACTTTGAAAGCCTAATGTATATGTTCTTGCCAATTGTTTGTTTCTATTACCTTTATAATGATCATTTCTTGAATATTTTATGAGGTAATCACTAAGCTGAGGGGTATCTGCATAGTTAAATCTGTAAATAGTTCAGATAACAGTTTTGAAAGCTGTAGAAGGAGTATATTCAGTATTCAGGTACGGCATGTGCAGCAAACTGGTTATCAACGCATTAACTGGATTATTCAGAGTAGTTCCAGCCCTCCTTCCCTTCCTGTTTTACAGATGAGACTTCCTGTTATTCCCACCTCTGTTTAGGATGCAGTTGAGAGGGGAAAACTAACAAAACAGCAAATAGACAACCTGTGAGAGGGGAGTTTTCTTTTGTGGAACTGAATAGATTCCTTTTGCAAAATCTATAGAGCAGGTTGTTTTATTGGTGTCTAGATTTAAAAGAAAACAGTGCAAAAAGCAGCTTTGTAAACTTTGGGGGAACATTTTCATTCTGGTTACCTTTAATGCCTATGTAGGCTAGTAGGATAGAAGGGACTTTGAGAGATCCTTTAGCTCATCCCCCGGCCTGAGGCAGGAGCATCCCTATCCAACCCATCCTATAGAAATCCATTATTCTAGCTCCTTAGCAAAATTACACAGTTAACTCTGACACAAAACCCAAGAATAGTATCTTAACCTGCCACAGGGAAAGCAGAGGAACTACAGCAGCTAATGTCTTGCTGCTGCAAAAGTTGCTAATATATGCTAAAGAAATCCCAGAAAGATGGCCATGCTCCCCATTATACAGGAAAGCAAAAACCCTCACAATCCATATCAATTTGATCATAGTGGGTAAAATTCCTTTCTGATATGCTTAGATCCTTCATCCTCTCCTTGGATGACTTACCATCCAAGCCCTTTATCATTTTTTGTCACCCACCTCTGGCATCTCTCTGGTTTCCCCACGTCCTTTTTTAAACATGAAGCCCAAAAGTTATCAGCAGGGATCCTGGTTTTCTCTGATAAAAAAAATTCAGATTCTCTGATAAACCCCCCAAAAGTATGACTGAAATGAAAGCTCCCCTCCACGGCTCCCCTGTTGCTTCTTGTGCCCCTCACTCTCCCACCCCCACAGCCCACTGACCCTGTCAGTGCCCTTCACTCTGGTGGTGGCTGCTGCAGCAAATCAGAACCTAGCTCCCTCCCCTGCTGGGCTGCAGAGGCCCCTGGGGAGGGCACCAGGGCAGGAGCTTGAGCCTGCAGTGGGCAGCATGCCCTACCCTTGGCCTGTACACAGATCTGGGGGGCACGGGTCCCCTCTCCCCCCCTGGGAATGCACACAGCAGAGGGGAGCCAGCCCCACCCCTCCACCCCCATACAAGTGACCTGTGACTCCATCCCACTTCCCACCAGGGCCTTGTGACTGCGTATTGGAGCCCCAGGCCCCAAACCCAATGCACTGCCCAGCTGGGCAGCAATCCCAGGCCCAGATATGCCCAATTTTCTCCCTATGGGGGCCTCAACCCACCCCCCCCACTACTTACATTTGGAAGGTGCTTTCTAGACTACCTGGCAGCCATGTGCATATATATGCACATGGTACCCCCTGCCTGACCGCCCTCCTCCTGCTCCCTCCCAGCCCCATGCAGGCTGGAACTCTGCCAGCCTTCAGAGAGCTCATTGCAAAACTGCCAAATCTGTGAGTTTCTCTGCTAAAATGAGAAATCCATGTTCTACTTCATTTTTCCATGACAAATGGAAAACCTGGATCCCTGGTTATGAGGAAGGATATGGGACCCAGTCCCACACATTTTCTGGCATAAATAGCCCCTGTGACTTCAAGTATTCAAGTAAGTGAAATGCCATTTTCTCACTTATTTAAATGTTAACAAGATGAAAAAGATGAGTCTTATTGCTTTCTGAGTTTTTTTTCTTACTTGGAATAAATTAATGAGCATCACGGTCTTATTTTGAATAGTCTAGTCTAAAAATTTATATTCACATACGGTAACCTAGAATTTATCCAAATAATGCCAATTAAGTGCTACATGGTATTTGTTTTAAATTAAACCAAAATGCATTCCAGAAACGTAGCTGCATATTATGGTTATATTTTTAAAGAGAAATTCTCTGTGCAAAGCATTGCTAGTTGATGCTATGGGATGCTAAGGCACTATGTTTATAAACATACTACAGCAATCCCGCATACAATACAATACAATAACTCATATGAGACAAATACATGCATACAAGAAAATGTCTCCCTTTGTTTATCATGAATTTGTTTAAAAATTAACTTAGTTTGCTCAGCCCAATAAACATGACACATTGTGTGTCTACTTGATTTAGATCAAGAGGCTAATACTAGGCTCCTCATCCATTCTTACTGATCTGATTCAATAGAAATAAATTTGTCATGGGGGAAAAAAATCTATCTGAACATGTAGAAGCCATATCCTCATTACTGCTCCCCTCCAGGATTTATCTGACTCTCCTAAAATGAATGGTATAAAGGGTATCCATGTATCCATCTCCTTCCCTTCCACATGTTTAGCTCCACTCCCCAGGGTACACACATTCAAATATTCTGGGATACTTCTCCCATGTTTGTTCTCCTGATAGAGAAACTTACTCAGAGCCACATGTATAGACATTCGAATGTTGAGGCCCTAAAGAGTGGAGAGCTTGCAGTGCTGACACTGTGCACCTGCAGGGGTCCCTGTGCACACATGTGCAGGCTCTCAGTCTTCTGGGTGACAGATGGCAATAGTGCAAAGGGCAGCCCTAATTGGTTGACCCAGACTGCCTATGGTCAGTCTATGTTTCCCTGCAGCACAATGTAGGGATTATGAAGGGAATATGTTGTGCTTCCTGCTGCAGCATGAGCCCAGTGATCAACCAAGGAGAAGCTCTTATAAATATAATATAGTAATATAAAACCCTGGTTGTTCCCAAGTTATTTTTCTCCTGGAGTGGCCATTTTTACTCTACGGAAGAGAGCCTGAACATCTGTACATTCGCAGTTTCTCCTGGGAGAGCAGTAACTCTTCCAAGAGAAACTGAATGCATGTAAGAAGCTGTAGTCATACTGCTTGTCTCTTATTTGGCATATACAAGAAAGAAAACACTTGTTAAGACAGCCTCATCCTCCACCACAAGGCAAAATCTTGTCCCATAGTAAATAAAAGAAGGAAATTCCTAGAGATGGAGTGCAGTCTTGATGACCCTGCAATTTTCATTTTCTGTTTCCTAAGTAAGGGGTTCAAAGCTCATCTGGCAGAAGAAGAACTTGAGTATGGATTCTCTGCCTCTTGGGAAAGAGCTATAACACCTGGATTATTGAATAAATGGAGGACACAGGCAGCATCAATCATTCCAGGGATCTAGTGTGTCAATTCCTTTGGTTTCCTTACAACTGCCAATTTGTTTTACTCTTTCATTTCAGTAAGAAAAATGATTTTTTTGTTTGTTTGATCAAAAATTGTTATTTACTTATTTTTCAGTCCAGCTGCCAAAATATCAATTGTTGAGACAGTATGTTCAACTTAAGTTATCAATCTTGTCTCATAATGGTTGGTTTTGGTCATGCTGTATGATAGATCTTTATTTTCAAATCTAATCTAATATGATCATTCTGTGTTTCTAGAGAGTGGACATCCAGCATTAAAGGCAGCTGATCTTCGAGTGGCAGCAGAGTTAGTAGCCTCATCAATGAGAGAATGGAAATGGAAAAACCCTTCTCAGGATTCCTAGTGTTGGGGAGAAACAAGGACGATACTATATCTATGCTTGTGCAGCACATACAACTTTCACAAAATGACAAACATCACCAATGAAGTTGTTTGAACGAAATGTGAAAAGCTAGTTAGTTATGTAACTTGGGTCATTTTTCTGAAGCATACGGTTTGGTATTCATACGATCTTTGATATAAAGACCTTAAGCATGCTTCAAAGGACAAAACTAGCACAATAAAATCTTGTAAACTGAGAAAAAATACTGTGATATATTTTAAAGCAGTTACCAGAACACATCAGTCACTGCATTTTGTAAATTTAGATATTTCTTCTTAAAATTCAGGAGGATCAGATTCCCAGGACTTAGTCTTTGCTCCAGCAAAACTCCCATTGACAGCAAAGAGAGTTTTCCCAAGTGAGGGAATGTACAGGTGAAACAATTATTTCATATTTAAAAAAGGGGGAGGAGAATTTATTGCTCATGATCATGACTGTAATTAAGGCAGTTATAGGCCCCCAAAGCCAGTGAGAACAGAGGAGAGACTAAGCTGATATCCCTTATAACTTTTTTCTCCATCTGCTGTATCCTATAGTTAGTGAGAATTAAATTGGGGCAGTTTACCCCTGAATGAAATACCTGCTAAATTATCATGTTTCAGGTTTTGCTTACCACAAATAAAACAGGTATTTGAAAAAGCTGCAGTAGATCAGCTTAACAGACAGTCAACTGTCCTCTGACCCTTTGAAATCAATATAGTTATTTTGTCTGTCCATCCCGAAGAATTGACTTAGCATTCCAGGACTTGGCCCTAAAGTGGAATATCTTGTTTCCCTTTCCTCCCTGTACATACAGTTACCTCAGTTCATGGAGCTAGTGTGATTCCACTGTGCAAGGTAGGTACTGAGGTGTATGGATAAACTGGGTGTTTACACCCACTTCATAGTGTGAAACTTTGTTCAGTAAGGGTTTTTTATGCAACACTAGCTAGAGGAATATGTGTGCAGAAGTACCTGTGGTGGAGAAGTTGAAATATTCACTGCTGCATTGATCTTCCTGACCTCCACCTTACAATGCAGATAACAGAACCATAGACATGGCCTCAGCAACTAGGCTTCAGTAGCTTTCATTATTTGAGATGGGGAATATCCTCTTACCTTGTCTCTAGTTTTTTAAGGAAAAAGGAAATAACAAACCAAGCAAAAACATAACAACACCAATACGTATTGCTGCTGGTCATATAACCCAGTAACTTCTAGCACTTGGAAAGAGAAATGAAGATTGAGAGAAGATAAGACTCTTTGCCCCAATGAGATATAGGATTTTGAACTAAATGGATCTGTGGCCTGACCCAGTATAGCACTTCTTATGTTATGTTGACATTTAATTCTGGGTATTTCTGAATGGTGAAAGGCTTTAAAAATGGATCTGCCCTATGGTATGTAGTGTCTTATCCCACCCGCTGTCATCACCAGGTTATCTAGATACCTTCAACACTGCATTGAATTAAGTGACTAATATTGATCATGTGTGGCTTATTCTCTCATCTACTCCCCCATGAGGCTGGGTGTAGCTCATCCCTCTGTTAGCCACCACTCTGGTATAATATAGGGACTTAGGCAGTGCTGAAGATTGCAGCCAAATTCCTGTCTATACCAGCCCTATCATGTTCCAGCTCAGCACTAGTAATCAATGGTAGTGAATTAAATATCCAGTTTTTATCAGAGTTAGACACTGCCCTTGTAGGTCTACCTTATAGTAGGGTAATTAGACCTACCAATGAATATGGCTGGGATTTTTGTCTATGAAGCTAACAACTGCATAGATATTTTTTAATCCCAAGTTGTTCTACATGTCTCTTTAGAGAAATGAACTTGCATTAGTTCAGTGACAATATGTCACTCCAAATCTGTAGAAGACAGTGTAAGGTCAGGGAAGAGAAGCCTTTACTTTTCAATAGTCAGTTTCTATATATAAATTGGCACTTGATGCTCATCAAAGAACAAGAAATATTGGATAAGCTTTAAATGTCCATTGTATTTTTGAGCCAACTACCTGATGGAACTCATCACTTATATGTAAATGAACTGTCAATGGCTTGCCACCGTTGGCAATCACTGGACTGTGAAGGGTATGTCTTAATAAGAACCAAAGCTCTTCACAGACTTTGATTTACTGGAAATAAAATAGAAAAGTCCTCTGAGACTACAAAGGACACTTGTTTCAGATAAAACGTCTAGACAGTAGCAATATATTTGGGACTTTTATTATAGCAAAACTGCAAATTAGAATAGAGTGCTGAGAAAGTTCCTATGACCCACTGAGTTAAAAAACACTGCTTGAAACTGATCCTTGAAACACTTACAATCAAATTAAGTTCATAAGCATTCAAAAAAGTAAGAAAGAAAGGAAAGATGTGCAAGGTCAAAATTTAGGTTTGTTAGAACTTTGGGAGTTTCACAAATTTTACATTATCTCTGACAGTGTTCTGTCACCTTTTGCAATGTAGCATTAAATAATTACTTAAAGCAAATACAACATGCATAATTCTGCTTTATATCAAGTGACAGCCTGCCTTACAGAAGTTTCCAAATATAAGGGCCTTTTCCTCAACTGTTTGGACATAAGATAACATATAAAGAAATTGGTTCTATGAATTATTATATCTTGGGGCAGAAATAATCTAAACATAACTGACAATACATTTTTGTCTTAGACATGTCTGTCATTGTAAGGAAGGAGAGGTAGTTAGCTGTGTTAATCTGAAGCCAGGCAGAAGGCAGGGCAAGGTAGCACCTTGGGTCGTGTATACACATGCTCTGGGAGTGGGGGTGGAGGGGTGGGGGGAACTTTAATTAGGGCAGCCCTGAGAGCCACTCTAATTAAAGCACCCAGAACATCTCATGTATCAGTGTCCCTGTGCTTCAAATGATGTTGAACAAGCTTTAGATAAAACACCCCCACTGCCATTTTGAAGCATGGGGATGCCGATACATGAGATGTGAAAGGCTACTAGAGCATGGTAATTGCTATGCTCCAGGAGACTCGACTAATTTGTTCTGCTCTGATGTGCTAGAATTCTAGCACATCGGAGCAGCCTTCCTGCTCATGTATAGACACCCTTGAGTATTTTTAAAGACCCTTAGGCTAGGGACAGACATTCAAAAAGCCTGAGTCTGAATTGATTCAGTCTCTGCAGGTTAGTCTAACCTGGCTAGGCTAAACCAGTGTGTAATCATACAGGCATCCCCTTTGGACTGAGGAAATTCAGGCACATGCCTGCAGTGGCTCAGGCTAGAAGCCGGAGGGTGCTGGAGCAGCCCTCCCTTCCCTTCCACAGGGCTGAGCTGAGGGTGGTGTGGCCAGGCCCTGCAGGACACTCTGATTAGAGGGGGCTCCCCCCACCTTGATAGCAGAGCATTTATCAGCTCTGTTATCAGCATTGAACACCCCATCAGAAAACAAAGCCCCTCTCATTAGTTCAAGCTTTTCTTAAACAACATTTTGCAAGGAAGGGAACATTCCAAGGAGGGACATTACTTGTTGATTAGCTCCAAAGAGCCCTAAAGACACTTTCCTGTTTGCCTTACATAGACACCTCTCAGCATTAGTTAGCATAGCACATGCTGGCTACCCTCTGTGCTGTGGGAGGGAGGAGGAAGGGATCCCTGTTTGAGCTGTGAGCAGCGAGGTGAGGAGGGGAAGCGGGGAGCAGGAGGAAGCCAGGCAGATCCTCTGTGCCTGCAAGTCTCTGCCAGAGCTCCAGTGAGGGAGAATAGGGGAGGAGCCAGCCCTGGTCTGGAGCCCCGCCCAGCTCAGAGAGCATGCCGGGATGCTGGGGGAGTCTGGTTTAACTTAAATCAGCAAGGAATCTTGGGGAGACATTGAGTAAACTGGTTTGACCCAAATCAGTTAAGTCTGATAATACGTTCAACCAGGTTTATCTCAAATCATTTTAAGTCATTTTCAAACTGGCTTGTGTGCACTGAATGTCTGTTCCGTTACAGGTTTAAACCAGTTTCTGATCACTTAAACTGGTTTATGTGTAATGTCTGTCCCTAGTCTTAAAGACTGCATTTCTGACCAAATTAGCTTGTAAGGTGCCTCTCTGCCCTGTCTTCATTTTAAGAAGAAATCTTGCTACTTTCCCCAGTTATTAAAAGGTTCACTTCAGATAAGCATGAAGAAGTTAAGTGGTCAAATTTTCATCTCATTCCAGATTTACACCAGGTTATATCTATCAATTTCCCTCTATCAAACAAGATAGACAGTGTATGTGTATCTATACGATATCAGGATTTGGCTTTTCCATTTAGTTTATCTGATTATTTTGTTATTTGTAAAGTTTGTGCTCCTTTAAAGGCTGCAATATGCTTTACAAGGCAAAAACAAGGAATGAGATCCCACCCCTTTTAACCTCATGAGAGCTTTACCATTATTTTTTGTACAGCCGGGGTTTAGACAAGAATTATTTCTTATAATTTGCATATATCTACTTTTAGGTAGAATATGAATTAACCAAGCCTTTTAAGCACCTACCCAATCAAGCCCTATGACTTCCCTGTCTGAATATAGAGAGGGTTACTACAGGACTGTCTGCCATATCAGCCCTCTAGCACTTCATCCAGGCTCCGATCTTTAGCATCAAAATTTCATCATCCATTAACAAACACATCAGTCCCTAGCTGTTGTAGAAAAAGTGTAACTGATCCAGTGATATCTAAGTTTCCACATAGCTGAAATAGTGGCTCTGAGAGATGTGAACTGTCCCATTCATCTAAGGTGTTACCTCATATCTTTTTAAGTATCAACATTTTTAATTATAAGTGACATATAATGCTAAGCAACTCAAGCTGCAGGTAAATGGCAGAAAATATGGTATCTGGTCGATGACCAGGAGCCTGAATGTTCCTCCATTGGGATTTAAGGTTTAAAACAGTAAGTCAGTGGGATCCAAGTAGAAGGCTAAATTATGGTCACTTTTGATTCTGTATTAGCTTAAAAGTATCCAGCCTGTGTCTGTGAGCAACC